GGGAGTTGACAGGGAAGGAGAGAAAAAGAGAGGGGGCTGGGGTTGGGGGAGAGATTGTAAGGTTCGAAGTCGCAAAAGGTGGGAGGGAAACAAGAAGTGGGAACTTTTGGGAAGGGAAAGAGTAGAAGAGAAGGAAAGGCGCGTCGACCGGCCAGCAACAGTTGATTGACTGCCAGGTTACTCAGGCTGGGAGGAAGGGAGTGGTAAGGTAGGTTATGTTGCCCAGCCTCCTCTTCTTCTGCCCGTCTCTGATTGGTGCGTATTGATGTGGCTGGGGTCACGTGTAGCAGTCTAGCTTATGTCATTCATAGATCACCTGAGTTGTGCTGACTCATTATGGGTATCATGCTCATTCCACTAGTCCCGATATGGACATCTCGGAACAACATGTCATCCGATAAGGCTAGGCCGCATCGGGCAAGGCATCATCAGCCGCACCGCCCAAGGATGAAGCCGTCAATAGAAAGAAGAAAAAGAAATCCAAGGAGAAACTCAATGCATGAAGGAGAAGGACTTGATTGAAGATTACCTGCTCCGGGTCATGATCAGGGTTTCTCAATAAGTCAAGGTTTCTTTGTGTTCTTATCGACAAAACATCTGAAACTACTTGACCGGGTGGGTTCTGTTCTCTCCTCTCTGTCTACTCTGCCCCGAAGTCTGGCCCAGTCCTCCTCTCTCTCCCTTCCCTGGTCGCCGTGTCCACTTAGCGACCTTTCCCCCCATCTGGGCTAACCAATTGACGATTATTGATGCAGTTACGGCCAACTCGCGTCAAACCACCAGGAGAGACTGTGGCTTTGCCCATTCGCCGGCCTTGTCGATTTTTCCCCCAGAGCGATTACTCTCACATCTCATTTCCTCCTCCCCCTGAAAATAAGAACACCTCGCTCTCTTTGATTTTAATTATTCTTTCCTTACTGTTCCCGACGGGATGCTAGCAATTGGTGTCTGATAAATCTGGGCCTAATTTCCGTTTCGACAAAGCATGAGAGATGTCAAGGTCCGCAACGCCCGCGCTCCCTTTCCATAATGCCCAGATCCCCGATTCGAGACCGAGGTCGACAACCCCGGCGGACGTGCGCTCCAGTACTTCCCCTTCTGTAAGTGGCTTGCCTGTCTGTCTTTTGGTCCTCTCCGTGTGTCCAACTACTTGTCTCTTGCAATCTGTCCCCTCTGCCGTCTACCTTCCGTCGGCGCGGCTAACTGGGGCGCCTTGCGCGGATAGACGTCGACCTCGACATATTCGCTCTTAGATCCTCAAGAGACCGCAGAGCGCTTACAGACCTCCCTCGTCCATGGCCTCAATCCCGCCGAGGCCGAGGTGCGCCTGGCACAAGAGGGCCCCAACGAACTCCCGCACGAAGAACCGGAGCCCATATGGCTCCGCTTTCTCAAGCAGTTTAAGGAGACGTTGATCCTCCTCCTTTTAGCCTCCGCTGCGATCTCCTTTTTCATGGGAAACTACGATGATGCAGTCAGCATTACCCTCGCCGTCACAATTGTGGTCACCGTCGGATTCGTTCAGGAATATCGGTCGGAAAAGTCTCTGGAAGCACTGAGTCGTCTGGTGCCGCACCATGCGCATCTGATTCGCGATGTTCCCTTGAATGGCCCTCTAGTGGCCGGCACCATCCCGCCGGCTCCTGGTGCGGAGATGGAGTTGCAGGAGCTGCGAAGCAAGAGCCCGTCCATCTCCACTGCCGTCAAGGCCTCGACTACCGTGCCCGCTACGGAACTCGTGCCAGGTGACCTGGTCCTCTTCACCGTCGGAGACCGCATTCCGGCAGACATCAGGATCACTGCCGCCACGGATCTCTCCATCGATGAGTCCAACTTGACAGGCGAAAACGAACCGGTTGTCAAGTACCCCGATGCCATCCGCAGCCCGAAGCACCTTCCTTCGCACTCCCCTAAGATTGTGAGCCCGCCTCGATCGCCATTCTACGACGCCCCGGCCAGTGGCGCCGTGGGAGCCGACATCCGCTTGAATGAACAACACAACATCGCTTTCATGGGTACGCTGGTTCGGTCGGGATACGGACAGGGAATCGTGATTGGAACCGGTGCGAAGACGGAGTTTGGAAGCATTTCCGCCTCCCTCCAGGAAATTGAAAGCCCGCGGACGCCTCTCCAGCTGTCAATGGACCGTTTGGGCCAGGAGTTGAGTTACATATCGTTTGGTGTCATCGGACTGATTGTTCTCATTGGCTTGATCCAGGGTCGCAAGCTCCTCGAGATGTTCACCATTGGTGTTTCGCTCGCGGTGGCTGCGATTCCAGAAGGCCTCCCTATTATCGTTACCGTGACGCTGGCTCTGGGAGTGCTGCGCATGGCCAAGCGAGGAGCTATCATGCGCCGGCTGCCGAGTGTCGAAACGCTGGGCTCCGTAAACGTCGTTTGCAGTGACAAGACCGGTACTCTGACTCTGAACCACATGACAGTTACCAAAATGTGGCACTTTGACTGCCCCGAGCCTTTTGAGGTCCATAATGATATTTCCTCCTTGACCCCCGGGCCTGCAGCGCGGACCGTTCTACGAATCGGCAACATTGCCAACAATGCCAGACTATCTCGCGTGCATGCCAACTCTCCGGCTAGCGCCTCTTCTGCCGCGGTCTTGTCCTCCACGGACGACAGGGCTTCTGGAAGTATCCGTAGCAGATGGGTTGGCCAGCCTACTGACGTGGCTATCTTGGACTTGCTGGATACATTCGGCGAGGACGATGTGCGTGAGCGTATCAGCGCCCGTGTCGCGGAAACTCCGTTCAGTTCTGAGCGCAAATGGATGGGTGTGATCATTGGCAACGGTACCTCCGGTGACAATGTGGCCTATATCAAGGGAGCCCTCGAGCAGGTATTGACCCGGTGCGATACTTACTTGACCAAGGATGGCCGTGAGGTTATCCTGGATGAACCACGGCGCCAGTCGATAAGGCACGCAGCTGAGCACATGGCGGCAGAGGGCTTGCGGGTCTTGGCTTTTGCCAGTGGAGCAGTTAGGGATACTTCGAGAGGAAGAGCGTTTGGCAGTAGATCGGGTACGCCCGTGTCCAAGTCCAGCCAGAGTGATGACGATGACCGGTACAATGGACTAGTCTTTGCAGGCTTGGTGGGCATGAACGACCCTCCGCGCAAGGACGTTCACAAGTCCATCCGGCGTCTCATGGCTGGAGGAGTGCGGGTCATCATGATCACGGGAGATGCGGAGACGACCGCTGTTGCCATCGCGAAGAAACTAGGAATGCCGGTCAGTGACGCTCCCGGATCACGGCCCGTCATGAATGGGCATGAGATCGATCGGATGAGCACACAGGAGCTCGCGCAGGCCATATCCTCGACCTCGGTCTTTGCGCGCACCAGCCCGGACCATAAAATGAAGATTGTGCGTGCTTTGCAATCTCGCGGCGATGTAGTGGCTATGACCGGCGATGGCGTGAACGACGCCCCGGCACTCAAGAAGGCGGACATTGGTATATCGATGGGCAAGCTGGGCACTGATGTTGCCAAGGAGGCAGCGGATATGATCTTGACAGACGACGACTTTTCGACCATCTTGCGTGCCATCGAGCAGGGCAAGGGCATCTTCTACAATATCCAGAATTTCATTACCTTTCAGCTCAGTACCAGTGTTGCGGCACTGAGTCTTGTGTTGCTGAGCACCACCTTGGGCTTCAAGAATCCGTTGAACGCCATGCAAATCCTGTGGATCAGTGAGTTTATCTTCCCTAACATGCTTGAAACACTGCTGATTTCGACTCTTAGATATTCTCATGGATGGTCCCCCGGCACAGTCACTGGGCGTGGAACCCGTTGACCCGTCCATCATGAATCGGCCACCCCGACCCCGGAATGCCCGTGTACTCACGAGGCCACTCGTCCAGCGGGTGCTCACCTCCGCGATGATGATCATGCTCGGCACTCTGGCCATCTACATTCACGAAATGGGCGATGCCGATGACAGCGCCAACCCCGGCGTACACTCCCGCGTGGTGACAGCCCACGACACCACGATGACCTTTACATGCTTTGTGCTGTTTGACATGTTCAACGCATTGACCTGCCGCAGTGAGGGCAAGTCGGTGCTCCGTGGCGAAATTTCTCTCTTCGGAAACAAGATGTTCAACTACGCCGTTCTGGGCTCGCTCGCAGGACAGGCGTGTGTGATTTACCTTCCCTTCTTGCAGCGCATCTTCCAGACGGAACCTTTGGGCTTTGGACATTTGTTCCGGCTGGTGTGTATTTCGAGTACCGTATTTTGGGTCGATGAGGCCCGCAAGTATTATATGGCGTTGAAACGACGGGGCACGGTGGGGGTAGGATACAGTGTCAATGTTTAATAGATTAGGTTATAGGTTATATGTATAGATGTTTCCGTTATACTTTGATGTCAGTATTGACAATCTACTTGGGCGGTAAATTAAACCAGTGTGTAAATTGGGAAGCTAGTCGGTATCCGTAGCATAAAAAAAAAACTTTGAGGGTGAGGGGGAAAAAAAAAATACAAAGCAAAAAATAATGACCTACGCAGGACTCGAACCTGCAATCTCTTGATCCGTAGTCAAGCGCCTTACCATTGGGCCAGCAGGCCAGTTGTTGAAATACTGGCCAGTAATTTAATTTATGAGCCACAACAACACAGCAATACGTGTTCCCTCTACCTGTGTGGTCTGCTAGATACAATCACTGGGAAACAGTAGTCTAACCATGATGAGGATGCTTTAGGTGAGTACTTAGTAGTAGTAACTCGGTGGTACATGTGCATGGTACTGCGGTCATGCCGTTACTAATACTAGTGGTAAGCTCGCTACTAAGGAAATGCTGTCGATGATGGTATATATATTGGCCAGAACCGACAATGTTTTGATCGGGTTGTATCATATCAGAGAGTCGCGAGGACTAAAGATGTGAACCAGGTACTGCTACAATAGTTGCGCATGAAGAGTCTAGACAATTCGATTACACTACGTACGTAGTATAAAGGGCACCGGGGAGTTAGTGAGCTAAGTAATAGCTGGCTGACGTGCTTTGGCTCTCAGATTCCTCATCAGCATACAGCGGTCAGCTGCAGGGAGAGGTACACCAAATTGAGGTATCACATCCAAGCGCACGTATGCTGGTTGAAGAACCGGTATGTATTTTCAGGAACCGGTACTATGTAGGGCCATTGAACGAGCGCATGAAACACCGGGATCCCGAAAACCCGGGGCCAGAGTAGGGAGAGGACCAAAGTCGGGATAAGCCAGAACTCTAAATGCTTGACACCCCAAAGCGAAGACCCTCACCAGCAAACATTGCACTTCAGCAGAAGCCCTGGAAGTAATAAGGTAGGGTGGTTATTGATACCATCACGGCTCACCATCAAGCGGAACAGCATACCAGCGGCAACAACATCCGTTCCCGTCGTCTCGGCATGCTCAACCCCGAACCCAGATCGCAGAGTAAATCCGCAAGGGGCGATTGGCCTGGACCATGGTGCCCATCTCTAATGGATCTCCGGAAGCAGAACATTCTCCGGACTGAAAGAATGATCTGGGAGAGACTCATGGCCGTGCATCTGCAGCAGACGTCGAATTAGGGCTGGCAGGACAATAAATGTTAGGTAATGGTGTCTGGCCATTGGTCCCTGCAACGAACAGGCGACAGGAAAACCCAGGAGTGGCGCGCGCCCCCGTGACCGCTGACGATTTTAGCTCCGGTGATGGGCTCATCGTCCACTCCGCCCTTGTGTCTCCTCAGTCGATCACCACCATCGTAGCTTGCCCCGTGGCATGAACCGGGAACCCGATAGTGTGGTTCCCTGGGGGTCTGTGAGGGCACGTGGTCGACATGGATGTATAGTTTATTTTCATGTCATGCAGCACTCAAATATTTGACTCGTGGCATACACACGGGCCATTGTGTCATTTTATGGCATGTCTGTGATGTCTTGAAAGGTCAAGGTCATGCATGGCCACCCACGCAGGGAGTATAGCACCCCCACAAAGGAGTAGTCCAAATAAGCATCGTTCAGACTAAGACGCAGGAACTAGTAAGGAGTCAAAGATCAGCAACCAATTTAGTTACACGATATGCAGTAACATCCAACCCACCTGATAGAGAATACTATCATTTTACTCGACAAGAACCCCCAGAGATAAGGGAGCTACTAGTAGTGCAGCGGAGACGGGGTCAAGTTAGTTATATGGAGACATGAGCACATGGGAGGAAGCCTTTTTTTCTTTTTAAAGAAACTAAAGATAGGTACCAGGTACTAGTGTAGTTCCTATCTCCAGTGTTTCTTATCTCGTTCTACTCTTCCCCTGAACTAAAGCATTGAGGAAACTGGGGACAGCATCTACTTATGAACTACTGCTAGACCGGTTTGGGTAACGTGCTATCAGCACCAGGGGTCCCGGGGAGCACAGGTCCGATGTAGGATCATCTATCTACTATTTACTATTATCTACCGTAGAATGACTCGGGACTTCTGTCGGCTGCCGATAGGCAAGCCGGGTTGGGTTGCCTACTAGTGTAGTCCCACCCCACGCGACTGCTAGTCGAGGTACCCATCCATGCTTTTGCGTGCATTTGTCCGCCCGGTCTGGGACTGTCATACAGACGTAAGTGCGATATCATCGTATGGGGGAGAGTAAGCAGAGTGACATATCCTCCGATCTGGATAACTAGCCAGTTAGAAGCAGTCGAGTACACACCATAAGACAATTGATTTGCAGCACACACATCTATTCCATATAGATTTCTGTGTAGGCAACACACCGCATCGCAGCACCCTCACCATCGGAATCCTCCGAGCCAAGAGCCAAGCAAACGCAGCCCGACTCGCAAGTTCATTCATCCCGGCCCCGTATCTCTTCTATCTAACTGCTACTGGACTAGAGCCTGGCAAACCTCCGAACCGGCGACTGCGCGACCCAACCTCGAAAGCCCGCCCGCCCGCTTCAGGCCTACCCAATTCCTGAAACTCCCGAGCGGACATCGGGTGAAACAGGAATGACAAGCGGACTATCATTGGCCAAGCTTCGTCGTTATCAGCGCGGTGGAGCTGTTCGAGGCTGAGCTAGGCCGGATCGGGCTCCGGCGGGACCCACCCCGGATGCAGGTGGCGTGCAGCTGCCCTTATCGTGACCTCCTAGCCAATCGATTCGGAGTGGTGATGAGCTGAGAGAAAATGGAACTGATAAGAAAGGTCATCTTGAGTTTTCCGATTTCCACGGAATAGTTAGGCTTTCTGGTCGTGGGGAACACGGATGGATGGAGGGTGGATGGATTGAGCATGAAACGTGATGATCTTGTTGTCTTGTGTCTTGGCTTCGAATTGGCAGTTTACTTCAGTTGTTTGCCTAGTATGGATAGATGGATAGAAAACTAGGATATCCCTTTCATTTCTGTTTTGGGATGGATGTATCAGACTGGTTTTATTATTTCCCTGGTACGTTGTATTCTTCCTTACATGAAAGACGCATTTCTGCATGTGAGACGAAGTAGGGTGCAAGCATGTGCCTTCCTGCTTGTCTGCCTGTCTGCCTCAAATTCGAGCCAGATCAAACACAATCAATACCCCTATCTATCTACTAAACTGGAACCGGTTGCCCATTCCTTTGCCGGCCCAACTCGGCAACAGATAGGGCCCCAGGCCGCGAGTATGCGCTTTGTAGTAGCTCTGGAACGTGTTCAGTCTGTTATCATTGGGCTTGAAGGTATGCGTGATAGATAATCGCCAGCTGTCGGAGTTCCGCGTGTGCGCATATCGAGTAGATACATAAAGTAAACAGAAGCCCCAAGCCCAAGGCCCCCGGATTGCGCTGGTGTTGCTCTGTTTCTTCTCCTTTTCCCTCCTCTCTGCATACGGAGAGATGATGATCCAGGAAGCAGCAGACCATGCGGTGGGCTGCGCTGGTCTATGCGGTCCTACAGTCCACTTACTCGCTGTTCGCGTGGGCATCATCGACACATTTGATACCATATACCATACCGTATACTGGAGATTACAGCTTACTATACAAGCAGGGAAACAGCATGGAACCTAACCGGGAGGCTATACGAACCCTCTCCCCTGGGACGAGTTTGCAGATTCAATGGGTCGGGGCCTGGACCGACGCTCTTCCCTATCCACTGGAACCTGAGCATGGTGGCTGTGTGAATGAACACTCAATATGAATTGAGTGTAGATGATGATGTTGCTGCTGTTGCTGCTGCTTATGATGATGAAAAAGATCATTCCAGCAGGCCTAACCGAGGATAGTATACCAGGACCCAGCCGGGGCTAAAGTGGAAAAATGACGGGGAGTTTTCGCCACCGACTTCTTTGGGAATATTTTCTGCAGTCCTCCTCAATCGGCGGCGGTCTTGGCCGAGGGCGGCAGTTTTGCCACGGACCCAATCAAGGGCCCAGAGCAAATACTCATTTTGCACTCACTGCAGAAGAAACTACTAACTGACAGGTAATTGGGAAACACAATTGATGTTTGTACATGTGTGTGTGGTGTTGTCAAGAACTTCTCACGATCTGTCAACTTTGACAGTGAAGCACACGCAGCAAAGAAAAGTCTATCCTCCTCGTTCCATCACCAACAGCAGCACCAGCAGCGGCATCCATTCCTCCGCCGTTCGCCAGGAAACGCAACCAGTGGGTTTTGAATGGGTTCTGGTGGATGATCGTCGGGCCCGAGTTTATTTTATGCCATTTGATTTTTCACCTTATCTCTCGCCCGACTCAGCGGCCTCCCATTTGGGCCTTTTTTTCTCACTATCTTTATTTTATTTGATTTGAATTATTTTCTGGCGCCTCCCTCGCGTGGTGGAAAGAGAATATATTATTGTTTTCTGATTATTTCCCTTTTCTTTTTATCTTTTTCTTCTTTTCTGACTATTTACTGGAGACTTGAATTTTAGACTTTTTCGTGTTCCCTTTTAATTTTTCTGGGGTCTTCTTTCTTTCCCACGCGAGGCTAATCTGGAATGAAATGATTGAATGAAGTTTCAAGGGCATATCAACTTATCATCCACCCGCCCAAAAGTCATCACTAATAGATATTATCGACGGTCGAGGTGCTCCACCCGCGCCCAACGTTTGAGCAAAGTTTAGGGACTTTTCCTCTCCTCTGCCTGCCTGGGCATTGACACCAACCTATTATCGCTGCTATCGGGTCGGATTGGTAAAAGCGCAACCTCGTCGCAGGTTTGAGGTCCCACTCCGGTGCCTTTCCAGAATCTTGTCTGCCCGGCCGCTCCACTCATCGGCCATCTTCTGCTTCAGTCCTCAAGTCAGCGCACTCTTATTTATATAGTCGACGCCCTCCGCGCCCCCCGTGGCGGTTTTCCCTTCTCCACATCCGGCGGAGACGACAGTCTGCAGCATCCTTTCCCTCTCTTTCTCTCTCTTCCTCTCACGGCATTCCGTCTTACATTCCCGCTGCCGGTCCTTCAATCGACTCGCCCTTCTTCCCTCTCCCTCTCTTTCTCTCTGTCTGTCACTTCCCTCCATTCCAATCAATTCTCAAACCTCCTCTCTGTGTCACCTCCCTTTCTCTCTCCCCCTTTCGCCCTTGCAGATACTCTATTTCGCCAGTCCCGTCTTCGATTTTCGATCCCGATCTCGCTTCTGCAGTTCTTGCCGCCACCCACCCGAACTACACCCTCTCCACCACCCGCCTGTTCTCGGCCTGAGAACATTCCTCGGCGGTGGTGACTTCACATTCACAACGCCCGTCAGAAGATCATTTCGACCCGTCAATTCCTCGTGTTACCTCGATAGTCTTTCTTTACCACCATGTCGGACAAACCTGGCGTCTTTATCCCGCAATATGCGTCCTACAACTGGACGGGCGCTCCCTCCGACTACGAGGCTCTCACGACCAACGATATCGGTGGCGATTCCAGTTAGTTACTCTGCCTTTGTTGGTCGTTTTAGCTTCTCATGACTTACCTGTTGGCCAGGAACGGAAAACTTGAACAAATGGTTTCAATCCGGTGATCAAGCATACATCATCGTGGCTTCCGCCATGGTGATGGTCATGGTTCCTGGTCTCGCTTTCCTTTACTCCGGTCTCGCGCGCCGCAAGTCAGCTCTGAGTATGATCTGGGCTTGTATGGCTTCGTTCTCCGTCGTCACCTTCCAGTGGTATTTCTGGGGTTATTCTCTCGCCTTTTCCCCGACTGCAACCAACGGCTACATCGGTAACCTGCGCAACTTCGGTTTGATGAAGACATTGGCCGATCCTAGTCCGGGCTCCCCGCTGGTTCCGAACCTCCTCTACGCTTTCTATCAGGTATATCACGATCTTTCATGGGGACTTTACAATTTATAGCTAACGCAATTGGGATAGATGCAATTCTGCGGAGTTACGGCAGCAATTATCATGGGAGCTGTGGCCGAACGTGGACGCATGCTACCCGCAATGGTGTTCGTCTTCATTTGGGCTACGATTGTGTACTGTCCTCTGGCGTGCTGGGCATGGAACGTGAACGGTTGGGCCTACAAGTACGGAGTTTTGGATTACGCTGGTGGTGGTCCTGTCGAGATCGGGTCTGGTCTGTCGGCACTTGCCTACTCCATGGTCCTGGGCCGTCGCCAGGAGCGGATGATGCTGAACTTCCGCCCACACAACGTCTCTCTCATTCTACTGGGAACCGTTTTCCTTTGGTTCGGATGGCTGGGGTTCAACGGTGGCTCGGCTTTTGGAGCGAACCTTCGTGCCACCATGGCTTGCTGGAACTCTAACTTGACCGCTGCCTTCGCCGGTATGACTTGGGTTCTTCTCGATTGGCGCTTGGCTCGCAAGTGGTCCATGGTCGGTTGGTGCTCCGGTACCATCTCGGGCCTCGTTGCGGCCACTCCGGCTTCTGGTTTCGTCCCTCCCTGGGCTAGTGTGATCCTCGGCGTTGTGACTGGTATTGTTTGCAACTACTCCACCAAGGGTAAGTCACGCAGTTGCTTGACAGTTATCCCGTTCAGACACTGACTGAGTCTACAGTGAAATACTGGATCCGTATCGATGACTCTATGGATGTGTTCGCGGAACACGGTGTTGCAGGAATTGTCGGTCTTATCTTTAACGCCCTCTTCGCGGACGATGCGATTGTTGGACTGGACGGAGTCAACACTGGATCAGGATCCGGAGGTTGGCTGATCCACAATTACAAGCAACTCTACATTCAAATCGCCTATGTCGTCGCTACCTGCGCCTACTCGTTCGTCATGTCCGCCATCATCGCCTACGCCATCAACGCCATTCCCGGGTTGAAACTGCGTGCCTCGGAAGAAGCCGAACTGCTGGGTATGGACGACGACCAGCTGGGTGAATTCGCCTACGACTACGTTGAAGTCCGTCGTGACTACCTTGCCTGGACCCCTCAGCAGCACAACCAGCTCGAAGACGGCCACCAAATCCCCGCCGCGGCGCGGTACGGAATCGGCGAGCACAGTGAGATGATGCTGGACGGCCACGCCCCGGTTGGTGTGGACAGCCGCGGATGCAGCGAGGGTGACTCGGGCATCCAGGAGCTGAAGATGCAGCCTGCGCCGCGACAGGTAGCAGAACATCATGCGCCGCATGAGCCCGAGCCGGTCGCAGAGCCTATCCCGGCGGCTGAAATCAACGAAAAGGTGACGACCTGAGTCGGACTTTCCATCTTTTTAACCTTTTAATGTCTTCTGTCTTCTTTCTGTGATATCCAGCGATGCCTTTCTTATTAGCCCGGCTGAGCCACTTTTTCTTGTTTTATACATGTATTACATTTGGCGGCGATTTGGTTTGGCGTTTTTCAGGGACAAAGCCCGCGGGTTATGTATATCTACCTGTTGGGTGGATTGTATATATTAGGTTATAGCGGGGGGTTATTGTTTATTTTTGACTATGTTCGTTTCCTAGATCTTGCTTATGGAGTTATACCAGTACATGCATAGATAGTCAATTGATCCATCCATAACATATACCAGTCACACCATTCCGAATATGTAGATGTAGGATGTAGATGTCTGAAATCACCTAGCCTAGACGCAAATAACAGCTGACGTGTCCCCGGTACTACCCCGGAATTGCTAACAAATACCCCACGGCGGTACGGAGTAAACAGATAGACCACACGCATGTGCGGAGTACTCGACCTCCCTCCAAAAGCAACATCCCCGAACATCGAAGCTGTCGTATACATACGAACACGT